GTCTGTAGTAGAGCATACTCATAGTCCAAGTACTTAGGAGGCCGAGGCAAGAGGACTGTAAATTTGGGGTCAGTCTGTCTGTATAGTGAGTTAATGGCCAGCCTGGGGTATATGAGAACTTTGTGTCAAAAGCAAAGGATAGAATGCTTGCATGTGTAAGGCCATGATTTCATCTCCAGCGGCCTCCTCAAATGAAAGTCTGTCTCCTAATGATCATATCACATCTCTGGTCTTTGGTTTACTTATAAGTAGAGTGGTAGTACCTACACCCCATAAGTAGAGTGGTAGTACCTACACCCCAAAGAATTATCCAGCATAGTTGTGAGGTCCCTTTGCCTTCTCTGCATTTCTGTGTGTGAGCTGAGGGTTAGCAGTTTTGTTCTGAAATGAGGTTGCCACAAGAAGGCAGAAAGCATGAAGCTAATAGAAAGATGTGTGCCCTGGCTGCTGTGTGGTTATTTCTGTGATGCTAGTCAGTCCCTGCTTTCCAAAATCCTGAAGGGGTTTTTGACTGTGATCACATTTCTTGTCCATGAAAAGAGTTAAGGCCGGGTGGTGGTGGTGCACACCTTTAATCCCAGCACTCAGGAGGCAGAGGCAAATAGATCTATGTAAGTTTGAGGCCAGCCTGGTCTACAGGCTCCAAAGCTACATAAATAAACCCTGTCTTGAAAAATTGGAGAAAAAAAAAAGAGTTAAATTATGAAGTTTGTTGGGTGTAACCATACCATTATACAGTAAGCCATAAAGTTGATAACCTGTCTGCCCTGTTAGCCTTCTCCTTTAGTCCTAGAGAACATACGAATTTCTGGGTTATTGTAGAAAATAGATGTTGCAGTAGTTCTGTGTTGTAGATTTCGAAGCACCATTCAGCAAAGAACTGTAAGCAGAGCTGCTCTTTTAGTGCGGCTTGTGGTTTGGTTTTGTTTCTATTTGAACTTTTTTATGCTTGCAGGAAGTCAATACTCACTTATTTGGCATTTTCTTTTCGGGGAAGAGTTAAATATATACTTAAAACCTCCATGTAAGTCACTTCAGTAATTGTGCACGTGGATTTGATTTATCTAGTCTTTTTACTAGGCTGTGATTTTTTTTTTTTTTAAGCGTAGGAAATACATGGGACTGGATAAGTACTTGAGTGGGTAAGTGTGCTTTCTGCACATACATGGAGACCTGAGTCTGCTCACTACACTCACAGTAAACTGCACGTGCTGGTATATTCTGGAGAGGAGGAGTGGAGGCAGATCCCTGGGTTTGCTGGCCAGCCAGCCTAGCCTACTTGGTGAGCTCTAGGTCAGTGTAGGAGCCTCTTACAAAATGAAGTGGAGAGTAATTAAGGACACCAGCAACTCCAGCCTCTGTTCTCCATATACAGGTGCATGTGCACCTGCACACATTTAAATAAAAGAATGAAGGATGCAATAATTAGAGAATGCAAGCAGAATTGAAAGGCAGCCATTTAAGGTCTTTGCAGTGGTCTCTACCCAGGGTGGGAATGAATGCAAATAAGAGAACTAAAGGAACTTAGGACGGGTTAGATGTTGGAGGGTCTGAACTTCTGAGGAATCAGGGAGTGACAGGTTTCTAGACTGTGTCATGCCCCTGCACCCTTTCCCAGTTCACTCTCTGATTCTTTGTTGTGCTCCGTAGGCTGTCTTCCTTCCCTACCTCCACTGAGACAGCTGGACACAGGATGTTTATAGAAACTGTCCACCCTAGTTTTTCTTCTGCTCTGGAATTCTGAGTATAACTACCATCACACATACCACATGGTCGTCACACTCTGGAGTTTGTCTTCTGAGGGGCAGAAAAGGACATCTGTTTTAGTCTTCATTACATACTATGGTGATTTGAATGAAAATGGCTCCCATAGGCTCATAGAGTGGCACTATTTGGAGGTGTAGCCTTGTTGGAGGAAGTGTGTCAGTGGGAATGGTCTTCGAGGTTTCAAATGCTCAAGCCAAGCTGAGTGTCACTCTCTCTTCCTGCTGCCTGCCAATCCAGATGTAGAACTCTGCTACCTCCCCAGCACCATATTCACCTGCTCCCATGTTTCCTGCCATGAGGATAATGGACTAGACCTCTGAACTGTAAGCCAGCCCAATTAAATGTTTTCCTTTGTAAGAGTTGCTGTGGTCATGGTGTCTCTTCATAATAACAATAAGACACCTACCTAATACCAAACATGATCCTGGGACAGGACCAGCACCCCTGGGAAGAAACAGTGTCAATTAGAGCCGTTGTCCTGCTATCATGGGCCACAGGTTAGAGTGACCACATCTACAGGATGTCCAGGGCGTTTCCCACCCATTTTTACAGTTCCACTTTCCTTTTTTGTTTTTATTTCACCTTAGTGTATGTCTGTGTACCATGTGCATGGCTGGTGCCCATGGAGGTCAGAGGAGGGAGTCAGATCAGATCCCATCGAACTGGAATTATAGATGGTTCTGAGCCTCTGAGGACTGGGGACTGAACCTGAGTAGGGTCCTCTGCTAGCCATCTCTCCAGCCCCTTCACTTCTTTTTCATTTTGTACCTCCTACTTTGCCTTTGTGGTGACTGACTTCCAGTTTCACTTACTAAATGAAAGAACCGTGGAACAGCAGGGAGTTAATTTGCATTTTCTCTTTAAGAGAAGACTTGGTGGGGTTTTGCAGGTTGATGGAGGTCACTCGTGCATGGCACAGATGTGGTCAGAGGATGGTTCTGGGAGTTGGTCTATTGGATCCAGGGATCGTGTTTGCATGGCACGCACTTTTTTACCCACTTCGCTAGCTTGCTGGCGTGTGTATTTTAAGGGTTTCAGTGGCATCTTCCAATTAAACCCTCAAAAGTGTTGTCATGTAAAACTGAGTCTTTCAAATCCTACTATACTTAATAGTTTTTGAAGTGTTATGCTACTTAACCAGAAGTGAGGGGATCATTGTACTGACACAGAGTCATGTATCCCTCAGCATCTAAGACAGTCTATGTCAGGAGTACAAAGGTGGTGCAGATTCATCATCATGCCTCAAGGAAATCCATTGATGATATTTTGTTTTATGTCAGAATACTTAAATCATTTAAAAATCAAATGGGGTGGGTGGTAGCACACACATTTAATCCTAGTAATTAGGAGGCAGAGGCAGGCAGATCTCTGAATTAGAGGCCAGCCTGGCCTATAGAGTGAGTTCCAGAACAGCTAGGGCCACACAAAGAAACCCTGTCTCCAAAACAAATGAATGACTGAGGGGCTAGAGAGGTGGACTTTGATTTAAGCATATTTGCTGCTGCTCTTGCAGAGAACCAGGGTTCACATCCCAGCACCCAGATCAGGCAGTTCACAACCACCTATAACTTCAACTGTACCTCTGTGAATTTAATGCTCTCTTCTGGCCTCTGCAGGCACGCACACACGTGCACACATGTGTGCGCGCGCGCGCACACACACACACACACACACACACACACACACAATTAAAAAAAAGAAAACAAACCTTTAAAAACAGGATGGAAGCCAGGCATAGTGCCACACACACCAAACCCCAGCAGTCAGTAGGTGGAAGCAGAAGCATCAGAACATAAGAAAGGCTAGATTTGGCTATCTCACAAATTCAGGACCAGCCTTAGACTACCTTAGACTTTTTCTTGGACAAACAAACAAAACCTTAGAGTGGTCTAAAAATATCACTTGGACAGAAAACAACCCTGTTGCAAGGAGGAGCTGCTTGTCCGTCCCAGCCGCCTACTAGCTTACACTCAAAATAACCATACAGAAACTTTATTAATTAAAATACTGCTTGGCCCATTAGCTCTAACTTCTTATTGGCTAACTCTTACATCTCAGTTTAACCCATTTCTATTAATCTGTGTATCACCACGTAGCAGTGGCTTACCAGGAAAGATTCAGCATGTCTGATTCTGGCAGCTTCATGGTGTCTCTCTCTCCTACTCTGCCTCTCTTCCTCCCAGCATTCAGTTCTGTCTTCCCCAACTACCTAAGTTGTGCCCTGTCAACTAGGCCAAGGCAGCTTCTTTATTCTTTAACCAATGAAAGCAACACACAAACAGAAGGAACTCCTACACCACAACCCCACCACCAATAGGAAGGAAATTGCAGGGGTCCTGGAAATATGGCTTTGAGTTAAGAGCACACTACTCTGCCAGAGGACCCATAACATGTGATTGACAACTGCCTGTAACTCCAACTCCAGGGGATCTGTCACCTCTGGCCTCTGCAGGCACCTACACTCACTTGCACATATCACACAGACATATATCCACGCATATATGTGGATTTAAATAATAAAAAATATTTGAGGGAAATTAGAAAGATTAAAATGTAAAGACTTAGCCATTTAGTATCACATTACGAAAATATGCTGGGGGAAGAGTAAGGAAGGAAAAGTATTTGGATTTTTCTGGGCTGTACTTATATTTAAAATCTCTTGCATCCTAAAATGATGGAGAACGATAAATGTGACAGAACCCAGTCACCTTTAGAGAAGACTTGGTGGGATTTTGTGTATGTGGCCGGGGGGAGTTTACTCCCTCACGTGCCAGGCAAGGTCTCTACTAATCTCTTGGTGTTGATTTGTTCTTGAGACAGCCTTGCTAAACTTTTCAGGCAAGCCTTGAACTGCAGTCCTCCTGCCTCAGCCAGAGTAGCTGAGATTGCGGGCCTACACCACCTGGTGAGCTGGGAAGTTTTGGTTGAGTTCCAGCTTATTTTTTCATTCTTTCCATTGCCTATGTTTTTATGAGACTTCGCTTGGGAAATCTATTCTGCATTTTAAAATTTTTCATTAAATCTAATTAAATGAAAGTTGTTCTAGTATCTGTTGTAAGAAGATCTTTATAGCATAGTTTAGAGCAACAGTCGAGATTAAAACACATAAGTTATGATTGCTCTGATCAGACAACAGGATGTGAACAGTCACATTTCGCAGTGCAGTGCAGTCATCAATGGTGTGCGCTCAGGAGTTGCTTCTCTCTAACAGGTGGTTTTCCTCTCTTGTTCAGGGCACTGTTTGGGGACAGCCATCTCTCTGATTCCATAAAGTGGTTTTCTATGTAAAGTTGGCAGAGGATCAGAACAATGCCTCCACGGCCATCGTCGGGTGAACTGTGGGGCATCCACTTGATGCCCCCACGAATCCTAGTGGAATGTTTACTCCCAAATGGAATGATAGTGACTTTAGAATGCCTCCGTGAGGCTACACTAATCACCATCAAACATGAACTATTTAAAGAAGCCAGAAAATACCCTCTGCATCAGCTTCTGCAAGATGAATCTTCTTACATTTTTGTAAGTGTTACCCAAGAAGCAGAAAGAGAAGAATTTTTTGATGAAACAAGACGGCTTTGTGACCTTCGGCTCTTTCAACCCTTTTTAAAAGTAATTGAACCAGTAGGCAACCGTGAAGAGAAGATCCTCAATCGAGAAATTGGTATGATATAATTTTTAGCTAACTGACATTGTCATTGCTAAACTGCAAATGACTGGCATCTATTCTTTGTTTCATTGTTAAGATACTTTGTCTGAATCACTGCCTTTGTAATCTTTAAGTAATTTCTTTTTTAAAAAAATCTAAAGTAGTGGTTTTAAGTCCTCCTCCTAAAGTTTTAAAACTTTGATGTTCTGTAGGGTTTTCTGTAAAAAATACAATTAGGAGGAGGACTTAGATCTGCTATAGCCAAGTTTTATTACTCTGTAAAAAACTTGATAGTGATTCTATTTTTAATATTAATATATGTATGGAAAATACATATAATATATTTAAAATGCCTAAGGCTTCATCAGCTCTTAAATTCATCAGTGATTTTTTTTTTTAACTCAGAAACTTTCTTGACTTTTAGGCTTTTCCAAATGTGCACAGTTCTGAGTTTGTAAGGACCACATCTGCCCTGCATTCTTTATAAATACCTTATTTTTCAGGTTTTGTTATTGGCATGCCAGTGTGTGAATTTGACATGGTTAAAGATCCAGAAGTCCAGGACTTCCGAAGGAACATTCTGAATGTTTGCAAAGAAGCCGTGGATCTGCGGGATCTCAACTCGCCTCACAGCAGAGCAATGTATGTCTACCCTCCCAATGTAGAGTCTTCCCCAGAATTGCCAAAGCACATCTACAACAAGTTAGATAAAGGTAAGGAGACCGTCAGCAGTGAACTCCTGTCACTGCTCTGATTTCTTCTGCACCATTGCTTTTTGCTGGCTGGATGGTGAGCTTGGAGACAAGGTCTGCTGCCCCACGAGAGTAGATTGCTAAGTGATAACTCGTAGACAGGAAGCACAGACTCCCTAACTCAGCCCTTGGTGAATACTTCTCTCGCTCAAACTAAAGAACTGAGTTTAGAATTCACTGTTGACAGAATGCAAACAAAATTAGAGCTGCTTATCTTCTTCTTTTTCATAAATAAAAACAGAAGGAGCTGTTGTCTAGAGCATTTGCCCTATGTGCACAAGGCCGTGAGTTTGATACCCAGCACCACCGATAAAAAAGAAGGAAAAGAGTTCATAAAAACAAGCACAGGCACATACATTTTAGTGATCTGTTCTCTGACAGGAAAACACTGTCATGCTTCACTGTGTTTTTTTTTTTTTTTACTTTTCTAAAGACATAACTAGAAACAATGTCTAGTTAACCTGACTGACTAGAGGTGAAGATTTGGTGGAAACAGGCAGTGTTCACATCCGGCAGATTCTCGGTGTCCATGACTTAATTGGTCTTAGTAAGAGAAAAATTAAAACTTCCTTTTCCCTTTCCCTGTTTATTCTTCTTCCATCTTTTCTTCATTCTAACGATGGTGCTCCCTTTCCTTTGAGTAGTTCATGAACTGGTAAACTTGAGACCCTCTCGTGTCTTTCTGTGAAGTGCAGCTTGCAGTTTACAGTGGAGATGAGCTTGGTCTTGTGTTTTAGTGATCCACTAGACTAGTCAGAAAGGAGCCTAGGATGTTGTATGAAAGTCTGCCAGGTGTGAACATTGCCTGTTTCCACCAGATCTTCGCCTCTAGTTAATCATGTTAACTAGAATCCTATCTGGTTGTAGTTACAAGAACAGAGAGTGAAAACTTCTTGAGACTTGTCTTCAGAGAGATGAATTGACACCAACATTGCATCCAGCATTGTTTTCTTGTTACAGGACAAATCATAGTGGTGATTTGGGTAATCGTCTCTCCAAACAATGACAAGCAGAAGTACACCCTGAAGATCAACCATGACTGTGTGCCAGAGCAAGTCATTGCTGAAGCCATCAGGAAGAAGACTCGGAGTATGCTGCTCTCCTCTGAGCAGCTGAAGCTCTGTGTCCTAGAATACCAGGGCAAGTATATTCTGAAAGTGTGTGGCTGTGACGAGTACTTCCTAGAAAAGTATCCTCTGAGCCAGTACAAGGTGAGTGATGGATGCCCACGCCAGGCTGCATATGTCCTTAGCCTGTACTTTTGATGATTAATAGTTAATATTAGCAAACAATTTATAAGCTTATTTATTAGCATATTTTAATTTTGTTTAATACTAATAGTAAGTTTCACTGAAATGACATTTTCCTTTGTGAGTTGTGTCTTTTTGTTTTGTTTTGTTTCTGCCACTACCAGAGATTGAACCTAGGACATCATGAATGCCACCCAAGTCTTCCACCACTGAACTACCTATCCTCCTGTGGTCATTTGTGTCATATATGTATATCATGTGTTTTGATCATAGTCAACCCCGCTGGGATGAATGAGTTTCCCTACTCCCTCTGATCACCTTGCTTTCAACCAGGCCCCTCTTCTATTTAAGTTTTTATTCAAATAATATAATTAATTGAGAGCCTGAAGATGTGGCAGTTATACTAACTACAAAATAGGGGGTATTTCATGACTTTCTTGTTCCCCAATAATTATATGGGGACAGTGTTAAAGTAGAGCATTGTTTATTAAGATCACTACTGACCTTCCTCCTCTTTCTCTGTCCTTTGAGAAGCAACGGTGGTGTACACACCAATCACTGTTTTATAATACAGACACCGGCCTTCAGTTGCTGATAGATAGGAGAGTATGGGGTTATGATGTGTATGGAGTAGCATAGACCAAAAATCTGTATCCTGGGGGCCACCAAGATGGAGAGAGAACCAGCTTTAAACTCCTTTGAATTCCATGCATGCTCTGTGTACGTGTACATTAATAAGCAAATACAGTTTTTAAAGAACCTTTATCTTGGACTTGGGGAGATGGGCCATTTGGTAAAGTGCTTTGGTGTACAATGAGGAGGACCTGTGCTTGGATCCCTAACACCAACATAAGAGCCAGGCTTGGCAAGCTGTGCCTGACATCTCGACACTGGGGAGGCAGTGACAGGAGGATCCCTAGAGTTCTCTGGCCAGCCAGCCTCGTCCTTACTGAGCTCCATGTTCCCTTTCCCAATAAAATAAGTGGACAGTGATTGAGGAGCATTCCTGACCTTGAACTCTGCACACACATCCTGCTATTTCAAAACTCAGATCAGTGAATTTTAACATTTTTAAATGTCTCTATAGCTCTCAGTATCATTTGCTTATTGTTTTTATTGTTTGGAATTTTGTTTTTTTGAGATGGGTCTCATATAGCCCAGGCTGGCTTCAAATTGGCCATGTAGCAAACAATGACCGTATACCTTCATCTTTTCCATCCACTCCTCACGTGCTAGCATTGCCAGTGTAGGTGACCATACCAGCTTACTTATGGGCCTTTATTGTTTCAGTAAAATAAATGTTTCTCAGGAACTGTGTGGAGGGAGGGGTGTGGGGTTTGGCCCTGGTGACGTATGACATGGACTGTGACAGAGGAAGCTGCTCTTCCCTACAGTGGTCATTTCTGATCTTTGTTTTTAGTGTTTTGCAGTTAAGAGTAACATGATAGTGTCAAAAATTGATCCTAGTTTTTTACTTTATAAATATATTCAGAAGTTCTTTGAAACTAATTCCAATTTAATAAAAAAACAACTGGTAACAAGTGTGGTCTATGTTTGATTTTTAAAATCACCTTTGTAAATGCTCATAACATTCCTGCATGTTATCTTTGGGATGAAGAACCTCACGGACAATGGTTGCTTCTCTCACTCTGATCTCTTACAGTACATCAGAAGCTGTATAATGCTGGGGAGGATGCCCAACTTGATGTTGATGGCCAAGGAGAGTCTTTACTCTCAGCTGCCGATGGATAGCTTCACAATGCCATCTTACTCCAGGCGGATCTCCACAGCCACGCCCTATATGAATGGAGAGACATCTACGAAATCCCTCTGGGTTATTAATAGTGCACTCAGAATCAAAATTCTTTGTGCAACCTATGTAAATGTAAATATTCGAGACATTGATAAGGTAAGGTCACAAAGGCTGATGTTTGTTCTATGGAAGTCATTGTTTTATTAGCCTAATTTGAACACAGTGTAAACTATTGACCTGTGGTAGCTTTACACATGACTTAAAACACAAATCTCAGAAAATATAAATGAATCATGATTTCTTTTTGAGTTATACCTGCCTCAGCTTTCACACAGTTAATCTATAATTGTAATATCCATAACTGTAGGCTTTTTAAAGTAGAAAGTTTTACAGTCTATTTAGTTAAAAACAGTGATCGGATCTAAAGTGAGTCTTTTTATAGTCTTTATTTAATCCCATTGTGTGAAAGTCTTAACATCTCATAACAGAACTGTTCATGTCTTAGGGAACTGTTCCTCTAGCTTCAGGAGTTTGAAGGAATACCTAACACCAGCTTATCTTGGAAAAGTGAAGGCCTCTGTGTTTTATGCATAGTGCCCCCCCCTCCCCCCGGGGCTCTTGGCTATGCTAACTTCCTACTGGGTCAGGGGCCCATCATTAGTTGGCAAAGGCAACAGTTAATTGTAAATTAATACAAAGAAGCCATCTGAACAAAAGATCTCATGATTCTCTCATTTACATCAGTTATTTTGTAGTGCTTGGTTCTGTTGAGTGTTCATAATGCATATATATGAGTGGGTGTGTGGGTGTGTATACACTATATATAGTGTATAGTTTCCTTCTCTTTCAGATCTATGTTCGCACAGGTATCTACCATGGTGGAGAACCCTTATGTGACAATGTGAACACTCAAAGAGTACCTTGTTCCAATCCTAGGTAAGAGGGGTTTGGACATATTTCATGTCACTAATTTTACGCAAGTTATCACATTTCCATTATTTACATAAAGAACATACGGACTTTCTGTGACTGACTCTGTCAAATTTTATCCTAAAGGTTTTTCTGCTTCACTCCTGCCATTGTTTCAGGGAGTAAAGGGAACATGGTCAAAGTCTTGTTCTTGATTAAAAAAGTCAAGACCTGAGCTCTAAGGCAATCTCCTTCGTATGATTCCCACGAACACATAACTAGGGTCTTTAATAAAAGGCATTTACTGTGGGAAAGTGGGTTGCTGGGCACTTTGGACTCACTCTTGCTTAAATATGCTGAGGAAATGGAAGGTGGTCCGGAGCTTTCAGGCCTTCTCTTTGGTTTTTCTTGTGAGAGACCCTTTGATTTCATAGCAGTAGAGTGCCGGAAGAGCTCGGCTGACACTGCAGATTGACCTTCCAGAGTGCATTGGGGCTCACAAGTGAGACCTAGGAGGAAGGGAGACTGAGTTCTGACCTTGTTACTACATTTACAGAGTTAATGACTCTCCTAGAGCCTAGGACAAGACAAGTTCAGGGAGATGGTCACTTGTCAATCAGTTGCCACCTACCCAAGTCACAGCAGGTCAATCAGGGCAGCATTGAGGTTAGATGGTACACAGGCAGCCAAGAGTCGTTAAAACAACAGTTCAACAAATTTCCCACTCATACTTCTTGTTTGCCAAAGTGGGCTGATTGTAGATTTAAAAAAAAAAAAAAAAACCTAGTATTTTTGAGGACATTATAAAAACCTATTAAAGAAAATGTAGAAACCCACCAACCCAAAGAATTCAAAGAGCTTCAAGAAAAGGCTGCAAAAAAAAAAAAAAAAATCTGTCCTGCCAGGGCGGTGGTGGCAGTGCACGCCTTTAATCCCAGCACTCGGGAGGCGGGCAGGCGGATCTCTGTGAGTTCGAGGCCAGCCTGGTCTATAAGAGCTAGTTCCAGGACAGGAACCAAAAACTATGGAGAAATCCTGTCTTGAAAAAAAAAATCTGTTCTGCTTGTATGAAAGCCAAAAGTAAGATTTTAGGAAAATAAGAAGGAAGACTTCATAGTAGTTGGTTATAATGTTGATATTTTAGAAAATTAAAGTAACTGTTTAAGCCAGCTGTGGTAGTGCCTGCAAGTTTTTACAGCTTTTCACAGCTGGAGGAAGGGTGATCAGTTCAACTTTTATCTTCAGCTACATAGTAGCTCAAAGTCAGCCTTGGCTGCATGAACCATCCTGTCCAAACAAACAGGTTATACAGTTCTTATGTTCATCTGGCTCAGCAGCACTGCCGTTCCTGAGGACACACATCCGTTCTCAGCATTTACACTGGTCAGCTCATACCCACCTGTACCTCTGGCTTCACAGGACCTGTCACCCTCTTCTGGCCTCTGCAGGCACCTGCACTCATATGCATATATTCTCAGACAGGCATGAAAAAAAAAAAAAAAAAGAAATCTCAGCTGGGTAGTATGGCATGTGCCTTTAGTCCCAGCACTCAGGAGGCAGAGGCAGGAGGATCTCTTGAGTTCAAGGCCAGCCTGGTTTACAGAGTGAGTTCCATACAGCCAGGGCTACACAAAGAAACCTTTTCTCGAAACAAATAAACAAAAAAATTTATCTTTTTAAGTAGAAGTTAAATCCCTGTGGCAGTAATGTGAAAATGTTATTAAAATCAGAAATAAATATGAAATTATTAGAAAGATAGGAGTGTAGACTTGGAAAGCATTGAGATTGGGGGGTGTGTGTGTGTGTGTGTGTGTGTTTGCATGAATATATATCTCTGCAGTGTCCTTGGAGGTCAGAAGTAGGAACCAGTTCCCCTAGGGCTGGAGCTAACAACAGGTGGTTGTAGCTGCTATGTGGGTGCTGGGAATTGAGCCTGAGTTCAATGGAAGAGCAACAAGTGATCATAACCCTAGCCCTATTTTTGAAAATAAATTATTTTATTTTTGAGAGTCTCACTCTGTAGCCTTGACTGACCTTGAACTCACAGAGATCCTCTCCCTCCTGAGTGCTGCTGGTACTAAAGGCATTCGCCACCACACCAGCCTTTGAAAACTCCTGAAAGGTGAGCAGGTGTCTCAGCAGATATGAGTGTTTGCCATAGAGCCTACCAGCCTACATGGGGAAAGGAGAGAACTAGCTCCTGAAGTTCTCTTGGACATTCCCATGCACATGTGTGCACACACAGTAAATATAATAAAAGACATTTAGCACCAATATAATAAAAATGTTTAGAAAAAAAGACGACTTCCTGAGATTGTTGGCTCCATATTTATACTTCTCATTTACTGGGTGAATTTAATATTTTATGATATTTTTATACATATACCAGTTATTTTCCAAAAAGAACAATCAATTTGGACCACATTTATAAAACTATTTCTTAAAAATAACTTGGGGGAGGGGCCGGGCGGTGGTGGCGCATGCCTTTAATCCCAGCACTCGGGAGGTAGAGGCAGGCGGATCTCTGTGAGTTCGAGACCAGCCTGGTCTACAAGAGCTAGTTCCGGGACAGGCTCCAAAGCCACAGAGAAACCCTGTCTTGAAAATAAAAAAATAAAAAATAAAAAAATAACTTGGGGGAGGAGACTAGAGAGATAATTCAGTGATTAAGCTCTTTAAAAACAAATAAAAGTATGGGTATGTGTGTGTGTTTGCCTGCATGTATGTATGTGCATGCCCAGTGTCCACGGAGTCCAGAAGAGTGCATCTGATCCCTAGCAACTGAAGTTACAGTTATAAAGTGCCGTGTGGTTGCTGGTTATTAAACCTGAGTCCTCTGCAAGAACAGCAAGTGATGCACTGTGAGCTGTCTCTCCAGCCCTGGCTGAGAGCTCTTTCTGTACAATCGTGAGGACAGGAATTAAGATCTAGCACTCGTGTAGCCACCTGGGCATCCCACACATGTCTATAATTCCAGTTCAAGAAAGATGGAGACAGGACCACTGAGGCTTCATAGCTGCCAGCCAAGCTGAGTAAATAAACTAGTTTCAGGAAAGACCCTGCTTCAAAGGAGTGGACAGAAATTGATGGAAAACAACACTCACTTTTGTTCCCCATGTGCATTCATTCACACACGTGTGCAAATATGCTCATGTAAGCATATCCATGTACATAAATAAATCTTTAACAAATAAATAACTTGGTCTGTGTCGCAGTGGGTGTTAGGAACAGGACTGTGCTAGTTCCACTGGACCCAGGGAACAGTTCTCTGAGAGTGTGGATGGCAGGGAACAGTTCTCTGAGAGTGTGGATGGCGGGGAACAGTTCTCTGAGAGTGTGGATGGCGGGGAACAGTTCTCTGAGAGTGTGGATGGCGGGGAACAGTTCTCTG